GGCCCTAGGGCACACACCGGCGCCGGGTGCAAGGGCATCCCAGACCGCTGGCGTGCCCCCGGACGAGCGGCCCCGCCCCTGGGTGCCCAGCGCGTGACCGGCCCTGCGCCCCTGGGCGCCCAGCACATGAGTGGCCCCCACCTCCCGGGCGCCCGGGAGCCTCTAAAGTTTGGGGACCACTGTCTTACAGAATCTTTACAGAGGGATTAAGGCTTCATTGTCCTATACCCTCCACAAACAAACTTCTCAGAGAGCTCACAGTTTAGGCTCTAGATAATACATAGCAGAATAAACAGAAATGGGGAAATAGAGTAAAGGAGGGAAAGACAAGGAAATGGTAGAGAGAGGTACATTCAGTGTTTTTAAATTCCTGTGGACTTAGATGAATGAGAGAGAATATTTATTTTGGTTGAGATACACATTTTTATTTTACTGATCTTTTTCTCTTTAACAGTCTGTGTGTGTGTGTATTGCTATATATAATTTTGAGACAGTAGGAATTTGCAGCAGCAGTGGATATTAAATCCACACCAATTCTATCCAGAGTGGGATTTAATTTAGAACAATGGGGAGGGGGGGATGTCTTAGCCCTGAAGAAAAGGTAAAATCAAAGTCAGTGTGACCCTGGTGGATAAGCAGTTAACATTGTGAAAGTGAAATGATTAAACGTTACTGTCTATATTAACTCACAGTTAATAGGGGAGGAGACACTGAAAAAGAGAAGTGACTCCTCCAAAAGCCCTAGTAGTTTTGTGGCAGAATCAGTTTTTAATTCTCTACTACATTAGCACTGTGTGTAGAAGTGGTTTTGATACTAATGATTTTTCTTTTTATTTCCAGGCTCGTGTCATGGCAACTATTGGAGTAACTAGAGGACTTGGAGACCATGACCTGAAGGTGCATGACTCCAATATCTACATCAAACCTTTTCTGTCTTCATCTCCAGAGGTACAACATCCAGGTCTTTGTTGTATGGCCTATGGGATTGGAAGAATATTAAACTAAGTGCACTTTGTTCATCTTGAATTACCCTCAGCTATGGAAAGTGTCCAGAATGTTGCTTTGTTCTCTTAAATGTGTAAATCAAGAGTGTAAATAATGACAG